CGATATTCAGCTAATTTTAATCGCCATCGTTCACATCTTTTATTTAATTGTTCTTTGTTTGTAAAATGAACTAACGGTTCATGATCAGTTTCTAATATAAATTCATGGCCACGAAGATATTTGTCCCATTTTTCTATTGCTTGTACTATTGCATAACATTCTTGTTCAATTGTTGGCCAATTAGTTTGTGTTTTTGTTAATTTCTTTGACATGTATGCTAGTGGTCGATCCCCGTTGGCAGTAATTTGTAATAAAACGGCACCAATTCCATCTCCAGAAGCATCAGTTTGTAATTTAAATGGTAATGTATCATCAGGCAGATCAAGAATAAGATCAGTTGTTAATATTTTCTTGAGGTGATGGAATGCTGTTCTAGCTTCATCAGTTAATTCAAATGTTGATTTTTTATTATACTTTTGTTGTTGTAATGTTGCTGGAGAATATTTATGTAATGGTGCAGCAATTGTGGAAAATTTTGGAATAAATTTCCTATAATATTCTGCTGCTTTGACGAATCTAAATGCTTCTTCAGCTGATGTTGGTTCTCTTGTATCAGTCAAGCCACGAATGTTATTTGGATCAGGTTTAATAGTACCAGCTTTAATTACATGTCCAAGAAATAATATTTCTGGTCTTGCAACTTCACATTTTTCAACATTTAATTTAAAATTTGCTTCCTGTAATAATGAACATACTTCTTCAATGTGCTTTAAATGTTCATTAAAATTTTGTGAGTAAATAATAATGTCATCGATATAGGCGAGTACATGTTTCCACCTATTCGGACCCAATATTTGATTAACAATACGTTGGAATGTTGGTGGTCCATTAGTAAGACCTTGTGGTAATACTTTAAATTGAAAATGTCCATCTCGAGTTGAAAATGCTGTTTTTGGTCGATCTGATTTGTCTAATGGTACTTGAAAATAACCTGCTTTGAAATCAAATTTTGTAAAATATGTTGCTTTTGTTAATTGGTCATAAATATCGTCGATTCTTGGTAGAGGAAAAGCATCTTTCGTTGTAATTTGATTCAAACGACGATAATCGACACAAAATCTTGTTGTTCCATCTTTCTTTTTTACTAAAACGACAGGTGAAGACCATGGTGATGTTGAATGTTCAATAATTGCATTTTTTAATAATTTATCTGTTTCTTTTCTTAAGGTTTCTTGATCTTTGTTCGATTTCCTATATGGTGGAGTATGGATTGGTCGATGTGTACCAGTATCAATAGCATTTTTTAAAACAATATCAATTTTTGATGGTCTTCTAATATCAAATAATTTTCCATATTTCCATAAAATTTTTAAAATGTGTTCCCGTTGTTTATCATCACTAATATGTTCGGTTAATTTGTTTATTTGCTGTCTTATTTCTTCAGGATAACATTTGTTTCTAAGGTGTTTAAACAATTCATTGCCAGTATCAAAATTTCGATAACATTCACGACATTGGTGTTGTTTTCCATGTACTGTTGTAGTCAGCATATTATTAAAATTTAATTTGTTTGATTTATTCGCTCCTTTCCCTTCAGGAATGAGCTCTTTACACGCTTTTCCTTCCGGAATGCGTTCTGTTAAATAATTTGATGACATGGTGACACCAATTGTAGAAGATACTTGTGTCACTATACCTAATTTGGTTCCTTCGGAAAGCGTTTGTTGTCGATTAGTTGCATTAATTATACTAATTCTAATTTTGCTATTTTCGATATTGAGTAATGCATTTGCAGTAAATAATGCTTTATTTCTTAACCGAGGATTTGGTTCAAATAATATGTCAGTCATATTGTTAGGTTGAACTTTTGCTTCTACTATTTTTTCTGAAAAAGGAGGAAAAGTAATATAGTTAATCAAAGTAGCTGGATAATTTAGAAGAGGTGGTTGTACAAAAGGAGTTGATACTTCTTTACCTTGACTTCGGATCATAATTCGTTGTTCAGGTGTAAGGATATAAACATTATTTGATTGAATCCAATCACTACCTAATATTAAATTTGTAACAAGGTTTGTTGTAACATCAGCAATAATTGTTGTTTTTATTCCATTAACATTTATTTCTAAAGGTATTTCACCAATAATATCTAATGTTGAGCAATTTGCAGATAAATGATTTATTGTTTTTGCTATTAATTTTTCATGTGGTATATCATTTAATAGATGTTGATGTATAATAGTGATGGCCGATCCGGTATCGATAAGTGCTTTTTGTGGAGTGTTGTTGCATAAAATTTCGACGAAAACGGGAGAAAATGTTGTTGTTGTTGATGACTTTTTGGCTCCACAGGGATCGTCGCCATCATCCGATCCCTTTATTCGAAAAAATGTTGTTGAGGACAATCACGAATTTGATGATTTGATTGTCCACATTTAAAACAGCCATTGTTCTTCTTATAAAAGCATTTAATTGTTGTATGATTGTTTTTGTTGCAAATTAAACATGGAGTTGATTGCTGAGTTTCCTTTTTTGGATAATTTTCTTGATTTCGGTTAAGGGTCATATAATTATTTTGTGTTGGGTATGTTCGACTACGTGTTGATGTTGATTGTTGTTGATGTTGTTTTTTATAATAATGACGTGATGTAGATGGTTGTTGACTTGATAACTGAATATTTGTTGACGTTGGTTGAATTGTTGCAGTTGATAATGTACGTTCAAAAAATGGTAAATTCTTTGATTCATGATGTGGAACGTTAATTTTTTGTTGAATTCGTTTTTGTATATATTCTTCTTCTCTTGCAAATTGCAACCATTCTTCTGGTTTTTTAATTTCTTTTTCATTACGAATTAAATGTTCCTTTAATGAATTTTTTACACCATTCTGTAATACCGTAATAACTTGTTGTTCAGTAATAAATTGTCGAGACTTTCTATATTTTCGAATAACATCTTCATAAAATGATATCACAGATTGGTCTCCTTTTTGATAAATATAAAAAAATTCTTGCATTAATTGACTGTCTGATGTAAATTCTTTAAATCGATCTCGTAATGCTTTTTCAGCATCACTCCAGTTGATAAATGATCGTAAGTTTTCTTGATACCATCGTAATGCTGGTCCTGTTAATTTGCCCATTGTTTCAAGAATTCTTGTTTCATCTTTTAATTTCATTAATGAAAATAAATTATTTAAATCAAATAACCATTCATCGATATCGAGTTCATTAGCTTCTCCTGAAAATTCAGCTATTTTCTTCATTGCTTCTTTTTGACTTGAATGAAGTTGTTGAGTTTCCATTGGGGTTGTTTCCATTTCTTGCATAGATGAAATATCGTTTAATTTTTTATTTCGTATTCGTGTTGGTGAATTAGTAATTAATTCGTATGATAAAAGGTTCGTACCACCTTGTTTTATTGCGTTTCTTGTACCGGTAGCCGTTGTTGAAAGAAAAAATGCACTTAAAAGGAAGGACAAAAAATTTGAACTCTATATAAAAGAAATATACCTTCTTTTGATAATTAAATTTTGAAATTAATTTATATATAAATGTCTAATTCTCTCTTTCCTAGAAAGATGAGATAATACTTCACTCTTTCCGTCACGGATGAGTAAATTAATTAATAAGTTCGTTCTTCTTCGATGTAGTAAATAGAAGAAGATGGGTCACGGCACCAAATTGTTAGCTCGTTTCGTCGAGCGATCGATATATATTTATTTCAAAAGAAAAACATCTTATATATATATAAAAAATGTCCTTGAAGTGCATAGTATAACAGAGAAGAGAAAAGAAAAGAAATAGTTGTACAATAACAAAGAGAAGAGAGAGAACGAAAGCATCGAGGGGTAGAACAGGTATCACCGTTAACAGTCCTCCCCCCTTACGAAAGATGTGTGTCCCCACACATTAATGTTCATCAATTGGAAAAAATATAGTTCTTCTGTAATAACATTTTGAATAAAAAATAATTGTCAAATCGATAGCTTGAAGTGTAGTTGATATTGTTCGATGTTATATATCGTCATAATGTTTGACATATAGCTATAGCAAAACGAAATATATATTGTGCATATTTAATAACAAATGATAAATTAGATGTTGAATGTAAATCAATTGAATGTATTATTGATAAATCTTCACCAAGTTGTTTAATACATGTCTTTAAATTATTATAATATGAACGATTTGTACGAAGAATACCAATAACAAAAATCAAATAAAAAATAACATCAATTGATTATGTTTAATATTCTTTGTTCAAAAAAAAAATATATATTTCGTTAACAAGTACTTGTAAGATGTTCAATGATATATTATAGCCATATCAGATGTTTCAGATTCCGAAAAGTAATGTTGATAAATTATTATATAACAAATTAATAATCACTTGCAATTGCTAATGACTAGCCTAAAACACTTTAAGGTCTTGTTCGTCATCTATAACGTGTCATATGTTAATCATTTGTTGTTATCATTATAATCACTAAACGAAAATGACTCAGTACTAATGACATAATTAATTCTTCATCATTCTCAATCATTCCTGAATGCATATCGATTGATGATAAAATATAAATAATAAATTCATATAATGATGTTGATGGACTATTTTCAGAATTATTTGCATTAATTAATTCATTAAATATTAATAAATATTCAATTGTTAATCGCTAATTAGTCCATGGTATACGTGGTAAATATCGATGATAAATATCAAGTATTGAATGTGTATATTCATTTGTTATTAAATATTTAACAACTGTATACTAATATTGAAATAAACACCGAAAAAAAATTCTTGCTGATAACTATATGATTCATTTATATATTGAAATAATTCTTCAGATAATTGCATAAATGTTTTTCCATACGTGTTAACATATCACCATGATGATCGATTGTTGTCTTCCATTCAGCTAATGCAAATCATGAATATGTTGGATCAATAAATGGACAATAAAGTAAAAAATTTGTTCAAATATTTGAGGTATATGCATATCATAATGAATTCGACATTCTTGAATATTTAAAATTACCATCGTTGAATAAATACGAGTCAATTAAAATAAAATTTATATTATAGAGAATAAACACATATATGTATAATATTTTGTATTTGATATATTCCTGATTATAATACTTGATGTTGAGCGAATTCTATGTAACATTCAAATATTCGTAAATATTCAAGAATATTTGTAACAACAGGATATTCATATGTACTTGTTATAATATGTCGAAATTCATGTAAATTGAATTTGTTATTTCCATGACCAGCTAGATAATTAAATAACGACTAATGTTGCACAATATAATATTTGAAGTTGTTCAGGTTGTCGTTGTTGTTTACTGGATGATGGTGGTGTTGTTGTTTGTGATGTTATCTTTGTTTCAAATTCACGATATTGAATAAGATGTTATTGTTATCTAAATATAGTAAGTTATGATTGGATTTAGTTTTTAACCTGTCTTGTTGCGTCATGTTGGTGGTTTGTTTGTAGTTGTTGTCGATTGGTGGTGTGATTGTGTTGTTGATTTTGTTGTTTGTTGTTTATTGTTGTTATTATTTTTGTTGTTGTTATTGTTGTCGAAGTTGTTTGTTATTATTATTTATTTATTTATTTATTTTTAATATATGTTGCTGTTGTCGCTAATTGTTGTTGTTGCTTTTTCTTTTGATAATTTGTTTAATAATTTATTATTATTAATTTTTTAATTTTAATTAAATTTTAATTTTTAATTTTAATTTTAATTTTTAATTTTTAATTTATTTAATTTTTAATTTTTAATTTTTAATTTATTTAATTTTTAATTTTTAATTTTTAATTTATTTAACCCCAACGTTGTTCATATTGTTTTCTGGAGAAATAATTAATTGGCATTTTTATTCTTGCTTGTTCTTGTTCAGTTTCAGATTTAAAACCAATTAATACTTCTTTTTTATGTCGATTGATTGTTAATTGATGGCTTGTATAAATATCATCGTCCTTCAGTTGAGCCCTAATTTTTTGGTAATCATATCGGTGGTAAATGGGCCTTTTTATTTTGTGTTGAAAATTGGGATGATATTTTTGTTTCCATTTTAACTTGAGGTTTTTCTTTCGTTGTCTTTCAGATTTTGATAATTTTGTTGTTGTTGTTGCTTTTTCTTGTGCTTGTTGTTGTTTTTGCACATTAAATTCGTTCATTTCTTCTTCAGTTGTTTCAATTGTTAAATAATTTTGTTCGCCGAATTTTGGTATTAGTATTTGAGGTGGTTTAACAAAATATGGCATTAATATTTGAGGTTCTTCTTCTTCTTCACTAATGTCGGATAAATCATCAATATTTAATGTAATGTTTGTTGATGCTGTTGGTGGTGTTTCATAAGTTGTTTGAATGGTTGAATTTGATGGATATATCATAAAATAAAGTTTTGTGACGGCGGTGCAATCAGCAACAGCATATTTTATCATTAACATACGTTTTTCTTGTTCTTCATTTGCATTGTAATGATTTTTACTAAATAATTTTTTCTTCCATGTATTGAGTTTAAAGTCTAAACCACAACGCCATTTGTTAACTGTTTCGTTCTTGTCCAGGAATTGTTGAAAAGCTATTCTAACTGCATCTTGTAAGGACCAGGTGGTTTGCTCCTCACGACTTTCCTTTGCAGGATGCGTGTTAGTTGGAGGTTTGTTGTACCAATCACTAAAACGATCCTGTAAATTTATTGTATTTTTAATCTTACCTTTTTCAAATAATTCATATGAATGAAAATTTTTAAATTCATTGTCGAATGGTCCCCAGGTAATTTTTTTATTTTCTTCACGAAATATAATTGCACAAAGTTCTTTAATTTTCTTGAATAACAATGAATTTTGATTTGGTAAGTAAAACATTTCAATTAATATTAATGTTGATTCGTGAATTGAATGAATAAATTGAATTTGTACAAGAGCACCTTGTGCTACCTTGTTTATTACTTGTGATTCTGTGTCGATTGTATATATATATGTTGTTTTTGCCATCATTATTAATTCTTCTATTGTTTCGATTGATGAATAATGATGAAGATGAATAACTGTAAAATTTGATGGTGATTGAAAAGGCGGATATTCTGCCCGTAGTTCTTCGTTTTTTTCCATTCGACGAGTAGTTTTCATCCAATTCTTTTGTTGTTGTGGATTTAAATCATAGAAGTATGGTGGTGGATTAGATGAATTTCTTGTTAAGGCAGACATAATAAATCACTATAATAAATGTGTGTTTGTTTTGTATATCGAAAAGATCAAATGATGTATAACTAAAATGAAAATACGTAATTTATAATTTAATGTCGTAATAAAATATTTATTCATTAAGGTCATTGTCCGTAAGGTCAATTTTTCTTTCCTTTGTATATATAGATATTCGATTTTTTATCCATATATAAAATTTTTCTTTCCTTCGTATATAAGGACAGTTCCATTGTTATCCATATATAAAATTTTTCTTTCCTTTTGATGTGGAATATATGTATATCATGCTAATGTTCAGATAATAGTAAAGTCGTCCAACTGGAACACGTGAATTATTGTTCGCACTGTACAGTATGGCCAGTACTATAAAAGTGCTTCAATTATAACGCATTGTGATTGGTGGATGAGTCATCGCGTATAATGTATTGATCCGATGACTAATATGCATGAAATAAAGCCAATTTAAATGAATTTTTGAGTTTGACAGCCCCTCCTTGTCAGTGAGAAGGTGAAATTCTGTCTCCCCGGCATGGACTGCTGAATCAAATTCAATCATTTTTAATTGATTTAACTAATAATTTTGTAATATATACGTGCATATATATTTAAAAAATGTTTTTTTCTTTTTTTTTTTTTTAAATTAAATTTTTTAATATAGGCGTATATATATGTATATATAAATTTTTCTTTTATCGATGCACATACTTTACACGTTATACTATCATATCCCACATCTCTCCCTTTTGGGATGTGTGTTATTAAATTAAATTCCATCGTTCCACCAACGGAACGATAACATCCATTGTTACTTGTCTTGTTAATGTTAATTTTTTTACATGTTGAACAATGAATGTTTTATGTCCTAATTGTTTAATAATCTTAAATGGACCTTCATATCGTATATCAAATTTATTTCTAACATTTCTTGTTTTGATTAAAACTAAATCATTAACATTTAATAATAAATCTTGTCTATGTAAATCATATCGAGCTTTGTATTGTTGTTGATTTTTGATAATATTGTTTCGAGCTTCATGTACTAATTTTTCGAGGTATATTCTAACTTTTCGACTATGCTCTGGATCTTGTGTGAGCGTAATAATTTCTTTTTGTTGATCAAATGGAAGAGTAACTTGTCGTCCATGCATCATTTCAAATGGTGTTTGCTTTGTTGTTGCATGTATTGATGTATTATAATTAAATGTGACGAATTGTAATACTTCATCCCAGTCGGTACGTCGTTCATTACATAAAGCTGCTATTTTTCCATCCATTGTAGCATTAAATCGTTCGATTTGTCCATTCGTTTGTGGATGATATACTGTTGAATATAAATGAGTAACTCCAAGATTTTCAAATAATTTGTTCGTAAGTTGAGAAGTAAAATGAGTACCATTATCAGTTAAAATACATGTTGGGGTTCCATATTTTAATATAACATCATTACTAAGAAATTTCACTGCTGTTGTTGCTGAACAATCTCGAACGGCTTTTGTAATAACAAATTTTGATAATACATCTGTAAGAGATATTATGTATCTGTTTCCTTGTTTTGATGTTGGAGTTATTGGACCATGAAAATCCATACTTAATAATTTCCATATTCCTTCAGGTGGTGGTATTGGTTTTAATTTTCCTGGTAATTTTTGACGACGATAATTATTTTGTGCACATGGTAAACATGAATTAATATGATTTCTAATATCAGCTATCATTGTTGGCCAGTAATAACGTTCTTGAATTTTTCTTGTTGTTTTGTCACGTCCAAAGTGAGCTCCATTAGCAGGTGTATCATGATAAATTTTTAATATATCACCACGTATTCGTCCTGCTGGAACATATGGTACAGATGGAAGTGGTAGTTGTTGTTTTCTAAATAATATTCCATCTTCGATAGAATAATGTTTTTTATTCTTGATATTCTTTTTTATTTCTTGAGTTGTTTTATCTTCTTCTTGAAGTTTTCTTAAATCATCCATATCAAATGGGATGATCTTATTTGGATTTTCATCTGATTGTTTGATTATCGGTTCTTCATCAATCGCTACTTTCCCTTGTGGGATGAGCTCATTCATTTTTTCATCTGTTGGTTTAATAGATGGTGTTGCCATTGCTTGTTGTTGTAACTTGGCTTGAGCTCTAGTAACTGCTGTTGTTATTTTTAATGGAATTAAATTTTTATTTAATGATGAAAATGATAAATCTGTTTGTGTTGATGCAGATTCATATTGAGTTCGTTCTTCAATATCTTCTTCAGCTATTTCGACTGGTGATCTTGAAAGATAATCTGCCATATTGTTTTTCTTGCCTTGTATGTGTTTCACCTTAAACCGATATTCAGCTAATTTTAATCGCCATCGTTCACATCTTTTATTTAATTGTTCTTTGTTTGTAAAATGAACTAACGGTTCATGATCAGTTTCTAATATAAATTCATGGCCACGAAGATATTTGTCCCATTTTTCTATTGCTTGTACTATTGCATAACATTCTTGTTCAATTGTTGGCCAATTAGTTTGTGTTTTTGTTAATTTCTTTGACATGTATGCTAGTGGTCGATCCCCGTTGGCAGTAATTTGTAATAAAACGGCACCAATTCCATCTCCAGAAGCATCAGTTTGTAATTTAAATGGTAATGTATCATCAGGCAGATCAAGAATAAGATCAGTTGTTAATATTTTCTTGAGGTGATGGAATGCTGTTCTAGCTTCATCAGTTAATTCAAATGTTGATTTTTTATTATACTTTTGTTGTTGTAATGTTGCTGGAGAATATTTATGTAATGGTGCAGCAATTGTGGAAAATTTTGGAATAAATTTCCTATAATATTCTGCTGCTTTGACGAATCTAAATGCTTCTTCAGCTGATGTTGGTTCTCTTGTATCAGTCAAGCCACGAATGTTATTTGGATCAGGTTTAATAGTACCAGCTTTAATTACATGTCCAAGAAATAATATTTCTGGTCTTGCAACTTCACATTTTTCAACATTTAATTTAAAATTTGCTTCCTGTAATAATGAACATACTTCTTCAATGTGCTTTAAATGTTCATTAAAATTTTGTGAGTAAATAATAATGTCATCGATATAGGCGAGTACATGTTTCCACCTATTCGGACCCAATATTTGATTAACAATACGTTGGAATGTTGGTGGTCCATTAGTAAGACCTTGTGGTAATACTTTAAATTGAAAATGTCCATCTCGAGTTGAAAATGCTGTTTTTGGTCGATCTGATTTGTCTAATGGTACTTGAAAATAACCTGCTTTGAAATCAAATTTTGTAAAATATGTTGCTTTTGTTAATTGGTCATAAATATCGTCGATTCTTGGTAGAGGAAAAGCATCTTTCGTTGTAATTTGATTCAAACGACGATAATCGACACAAAATCTTGTTGTTCCATCTTTCTTTTTTACTAAAACGACAGGTGAAGACCATGGTGATGTTGAATGTTCAATAATTGCATTTTTTAATAATTTATCTGTTTCTTTTCTTAAGGTTTCTTGATCTTTGTTCGATTTCCTATATGGTGGAGTATGGATTGGTCGATGTGTACCAGTATCAATAGCATTTTTTAAAACAATATCAATTTTTGATGGTCTTCTAATATCAAATAATTTTCCATATTTCCATAAAATTTTTAAAATGTGTTCCCGTTGTTTATCATCACTAATATGTTCGGTTAATTTGTTTATTTGCTGTCTTATTTCTTCAGGATAACATTTGTTTCTAAGGTGTTTAAACAATTCATTGCCAGTATCAAAATTTCGATAACATTCACGACATTGGTGTTGTTTTCCATGTACTGTTGTAGTCAGCATATTATTAAAATTTAATTTGTTTGATTTATTCGCTCCTTTCCCTTCAGGAATGAGCTCTTTACACGCTTTTCCTTCCGGAATGCGTTCTGTTAAATAATTTGATGACATGGTGACACCAATTGTAGAAGATACTTGTGTCACTATACCTAATTTGGTTCCTTCGGAAAGCGTTTGTTGTCGATTAGTTGCATTAATTATACTAATTCTAATTTTGCTATTTTCGATATTGAGTAATGCATTTGCAGTAAATAATGCTTTATTTCTTAACCGAGGATTTGGTTCAAATAATATGTCAGTCATATTGTTAGGTTGAACTTTTGCTTCTACTATTTTTTCTGAAAAAGGAGGAAAAGTAATATAGTTAATCAAAGTAGCTGGATAATTTAGAAGAGGTGGTTGTACAAAAGGAGTTGATACTTCTTTACCTTGACTTCGGATCATAATTCGTTGTTCAGGTGTAAGGATATAAACATTATTTGATTGAATCCAATCACTACCTAATATTAAATTTGTAACAAGGTTTGTTGTAACATCAGCAATAATTGTTGTTTTTATTCCATTAACATTTATTTCTAAAGGTATTTCACCAATAATATCTAATGTTGAGCAATTTGCAGATAAATGATTTATTGTTTTTGCTATTAATTTTTCATGTGGTATATCATTTAATAGATGTTGATGTATAATAGTGATGGCCGATCCGGTATCGATAAGTGCTTTTTGTGGAGTGTTGTTGCATAAAATTTCGACGAAAACGGGAGAAAATGTTGTTGTTGTTGATGACTTTTTGGCTCCACAGGGATCGTCGCCATCATCCGATCCCTTTATTCGAAAAAATGTTGTTGAGGACAATCACGAATTTGATGATTTGATTGTCCACATTTAAAACAGCCATTGTTCTTCTTATAAAAGCATTTAATTGTTGTATGATTGTTTTTGTTGCAAATTAAACATGGAGTTGATTGCTGAGTTTCCTTTTTTGGATAATTTTCTTGATTTCGGTTAAGGGTCATATAATTATTTTGTGTTGGGTATGTTCGACTACGTGTTGATGTTGATTGTTGTTGATGTTGTTTTTTATAATAATGACGTGATGTAGATGGTTGTTGACTTGATAACTGAATATTTGTTGACGTTGGTTGAATTGTTGCAGTTGATAATGTACGTTCAAAAAATGGTAAATTCTTTGATTCATGATGTGGAACGTTAATTTTTTGTTGAATTCGTTTTTGTATATATTCTTCTTCTCTTGCAAATTGCAACCATTCTTCTGGTTTTTTAATTTCTTTTTCATTACGAATTAAATGTTCCTTTAATGAATTTTTTACACCATTCTGTAATACCGTAATAACTTGTTGTTCAGTAATAAATTGTCGAGACTTTCTATATTTTCGAATAACAT